GCTCCGGGCAGGTCCTACCGGGAGGAGGCCCCGGGGAAGACCCAGGACACGCTGGAGGGACTGTGTTTCTCAGCTGGCCTGGAAATGCCTCGGCATTCCCCCGGAGGAGCTGGAGGAAGTGTCTGGAGAGAGGGAAGTCTGGGCATCTTTGCTTAGACTGCTGTCCCCGCGACCTGGTTCCGGATAAGCGGAGGAAAATGGATGGATGAATAATTGCGTAGTGACTGTCTCAAATCATGGAGAATGACCATCACAATTTCCCAGAAGCAAAGATGACATCTTCATATTAACTGTTTTGTCTGATTTCAAACTCAATTTACAATGTAATGAAACTAAGAGAATGACAACACCACCTCTAGGTTTAGAAGGTGGAAGCAGTGAATGTTTGGCATTTTAGATGGATAACTGTCATTTCATTTTCTGTCATTTGATTATGAATTAATTAAACAACTTATTGCTTCAGGACTCTTCATTTAAGTTTCTACATACAGTTAAGTGTCTAAACAGATATTTGAGTTCTTCCTAGTTTCTATCCTTCTTTAAAACCTTCTCAATGTATAGTTTAATCAAAACCTATGAAGGATAAAGACTTTAACCTGGATTTAATTTCCTAAAATAGGGTTCACCCTGGTCTTTGTAGCTCTTCTTTAGGTAAAATGTCTGCTTTTGCCCCTATACCATATGGTAACTGTGTAAAATTTTTAACATTGCATGTAGTGGTAACAGTAGTACCACTACATTAACATTCCATGTACAAATTACATGGAAAAGATAAGTTCTTTTTTTTCTTTAGGCACTGTAGGCACTCATATAATGATGACTGTGAGGCAAGAATCAATAAAATTTAAAGTCACATTCCCATCTACCAAACCCACAGCTGCAGGGTGGGCTGTCCCATCTGTGCAGACATGATAACAGTCACACATGTAGTTGTGGGAAATTGTCCAAATTGGTGAAAAGTGAAAGTGAAAAGTGGGTGAAAACTGTTTTGACACCATTTCGTGTTCCCTTAGAGCCTGTGAAAAATGTTTCAACAAAGAAAAGCAGTAATAAAAAACATTCCTTCCAAATAACTTAATCAGAAAAAAGACTAAGTTGTGTAAACCAAAATTATTAAGATGTGACAAACACAACACATTACAGTCGATCTTGTTCTATGTCACACTATTTTGGTTCGCATGGATCTGATACAACAAAGAAGCAGCCATTGTTTGTAGCCACTACACATAACAAATGAGAAGTGGTTCTGTTTGACTCAAGATACTTCTTTTGTCACGTCACCACAAGAAGGCAATGATGGAGTTCATCATTTATGACCTTTGCACAGGGAGTTCACACAGCACAATAAGTGGATGTCAAATGACTTTTGTCACATAAGGAAAGAAGTTGTGGGAATTAATGAATATGGCTACATCTTACATTTTCTGAAGCCTGGTCTGTTTGAGCACAGTTTTGCTGACAATACTGATGCAGACTAGTGTATATTGGTTCCGAACAGGAACTGGAGAGATAGGATTTATGACTCCAGCCAGGCCAGTGGCAGCAATGCCGGATGACATCATGCAATCCTCTATTCAACATTGTTCTTCAGATAAGGAGGGGAACTGGTGGGAGTGGTGTATACATGCAAATAGAAACATCTTCTGACCATGCTCCTGCCATCATCTTCCCCTGTCCAGTTCCATCTCAAACCCCTGGACTTCAGCACCCAGTACAATAGTGTAGATGTAATGACCCTACAAACTTAGATCGACTGCACTGAAGCCACATCTGTATGAGCAGCATAATGACAGTTTGTTAAAAAATTAATGCTGGACAGAAAAGCAGCAGAAAGTGACTTGAGGGACAGTTAGAGGAGATGGAAAGGAGGAGACTTGCCGGCTTTGAGATCTGTTTACAAGAAGACTCATTCACTGGTCACTGGTGTATGGCGTAGAGAGGATGTCTGTCTGTGTGTTTGTGTCTTTATCTCACAAGGGTTTGCAGCATGAGAACACCCGCGCAGACAGTGAGCAGCCGTGGGCGTCGTACACACAAAACACAGCAGCTCAGAGAAGAAAATACCTTTTATCCATCAACACAGATCACAAGACTTGTGTGCTGTGAGCACGATGCCCTCTAGGGATACACAATGTGAGGCCTCTTCAATTTGCAAAGGTTTATTTTTTCACAATTAAAATGTTTTTATGCAAAGTTGGATTCATATATAATCTAATATCCATTAAATTTAGATCACATCAGGACATAATGTCCTCATAATCACCTTATTAAAAATGTCATCTTACCTTGCCAGTGTCCTCACAGTGGAACTTAAGTCACACTGTTCCTGTGGCCTTCTCAGTTTGCAAACATCCACCCTCCTTTCTAAGCGAGACACCAGAACCTCCTCTCTTCCTTCCTTCCCCTTCAAATCCAAGCAGGCGGC